AACCAGGGAGTTTCTGCGCATGGAGATGGCGTCAGCATACTTCTTAACCTCTTCTGCCAAACTCTGATCAGGCACTGAGCTGAAATCCCTTTTGAACACTAACACTCTCTCGTAGCTCGGGGTGTCATGCTTGAACTTTAGCAAAACAGAGCTGTCATCCGACTTGATCATCACCTTTTGCTTAGTTTGCTTGTCGAATGAAGCATTTTTTAGTGCAGATGTGACTGTTCCAATTAGGTCATGACCCTTTGTTGCAAGGTAGGCAGCATTCTAGGACACCAATTTTTTTACAAGCTCAGAATTTAACTATTTTCAATTAGTTTTAGTAACTTATCAGAATGTAGAAGATGTATGCATGGGCAACAGCTATTAAAACTTACTTCTAAGCCAACCATAATTCCAGGGACTGCTTTTGCCTTGGCTAATTCCAGAAACTCTGGAAGAGTCATAAACTTCCCAGCAAACTGGTATGCATGATTCCTGTCCAATGGTGCTTCGTACGGAGAACTTATTTTTGCTGCAAAAAGTAAAACAGGAAAATAAAAAGGTGACAATTTAGAGACAAAGCTTAAGCAAAGTGTGCTATGGGACATTTTAGAGATATTATTACTTCATATTTTGAAAGCTCAAACTGATATGAGAAGAAGTCTATAGTTTTAAATGTGAGTTGTATCTTTATATATGACTGGATAGTTTGACACTTACGTTTTAGGGATTGAATTTCATCCCAGGCAAGACCAAAGGAGAAAATTCCAGGTTGCCCATCATTAACCTCTTTAATTTCTTCCACCTTATCCATGAAAGTTGTTCCTGCTGTAGTGGTGAACTTAAGGTCAGCTGAATCCTGACAGAATGCAATTCCATCTTTGGAAAGCTGGACATTACAATCGATTATGTCAGTGCCATCATCTATAGCCTTCTGATAAGCAAGATCTGACCCTCCCGGGTAGTCACCGCTTGCTCCATTGTGAGAAATGACCAATGCTACATTCACAAAAACAACCAGGCATGAATGGATTATAAACGGATAAATGTTATCGTCATATCCTTATGTATTAGCGTTCTTTCTATAATAATATTTCTACACAAAACTTATGAACAAGACTATGATTACATGGCCACTATAAAAATGCCTCCACTCCCATTAAATAGCAAAATAGAACGTTAGTATACATATACACAGGCAAAAACAACATGGCATGGGTGGATGGATGGATAAAATGTTGTGATCATCAAATGGTTAGATGTTGAGATTTAGATTCCATCTTAGTTATAGAAGTAGTGAACACGTTATAGGTGAGTTTTATTTTTATATTTGAGTGGTGTTATGCAGTTGCTTACTTTTTAGCACCCTCGAAGCATTGTTGTTATGTGCCAAGCAAGCAATGACATTGGACGCAGTTGAGCAGAAATCAGTGACGACACCATCAACAGAGAAGTGGGAGTTGTCAATAAACTGGAGGTACTCATTTGCTGGGTCAAGGCTATAGTTGTAAGGGATGTAATTATCATTTGCAAAGCCATAAGCGAACACCTCAAGTCCTTGTTTGTGGGCATCAGTCACAAGGGTTGTAGATGCCTCCAGATAGCGATCTTTATTAACTGGCCATATGAAATCTTTCGGAACCAGGATTCCTGCTGCAGAGCCCTTTATCATTTTGAGCTGCTTAATCAGTGATCCATACTTTTGGCTGGTTGAGGGTTCAACAGCTTCTAAGTCAGATGGGAACTTGAAGAAAAGCTTTACTGTTGGTGCAACTTTTGGTCCAATACTCTTCAAGAAACCAATTTCTGGAGATGAAATGTATGCGACGTTGATTTTCACTGCCGGCAGCATATCTTGCAAATATGATTCAATGCTCAGCTTGTGCTGCTGGTAGAACATGTCATACTGCAACACACACCACTCAATTAAACATATGTGCAACTCTAAATCTTATATATGAGTTTATACGTTTATATATGGCTGTTCTGTATGACTGAACGTATATAATCTATGTGATTATTTGAATCATATGCATACACACCTCCACATTTATCCACACTATGGGCATGTCCTGTCCTGTCCCCAATTGTTCAAGTGACTCTGGTGAACTTATTGTATAGCTGTTATCAAAACTTGAAGGTCGAGTGAACAAACCTTGTATCACTGCAGGTTGGCGGAATATCAGGAAGATTTAGTCAATATTGTTGTGATTGTATACCCATGTACTCAACTATATATATGAATTGGATGCTTAACCGAGCATTCCAGCCCAGCTGGTTGTGAGGTTAACGTGCTTAGTGTGAGGTCTCGAGTTCGAAACCCGCTAGGCACATAAAGGGTTTGAAATTCAATGGAGTGAGTTTAAGCTCTGATTACTCCAGGCCCCCAGCCTCCCTCCCCCCGGTCCCCAGACCCCCCGGAGTAAAAAAATATATGAATTGGATGCTTAATGAGAATTAAGTTTTCCCCTTTAATCAACTCTCTTTATGTGAGCTTTTCTTTAAAGCAGTACATGATTAATGATTTACAGCAGCCAACCAACAATCAATAGTTTTGTGCTGTGCAAAAAAAAATGCTTACATGTTATATTTTCAAACAAGGTTTGAGCATTGAAATCAAGTCCAAACCACCCCGTAAGCTTTTCGCCATTAACATCGTATGTCTTGCGTGCATTGGGGAAAGTGTCAGAAACTGTGGTTGCATTCTGAAGGAGCATTTTTGACATACAATAACCAAACCCATCCTTGCTGAGTTTTAGATCACAGAGCATGGGAGATCCCATTAAACTCTGTGGTATGCCATAAGTATAAGCCCCCCAACTGCTTTCAGGAAAAACACCAGACAACCCCCCATTAGCCACCACCACAGGATCGCCTCCTGTCCAAGGGAACACAAAAGGAGGACGAAATCAATCCTTAGCATTTTCTATCAGCATAAACCCTTAGGCTATGTTTGGATCCTTGAAAGTGCTAATGAAAGGAATGGAATATTAAACAAAATGCCGAGAACAATGCATATGCTTCATGGTTTTAGTTCACTTTTTCAGAGTATATTTGATGGAAATAAGGATACATAGATTCATTGAGTTTGAACCAATGCTGTAATTTCCTTGACATTTTTTTTTCATTTCAAATTGGTTCTGTGTTGTACTCCCTATTTATTCCTTAGATTATCTAAATTCCAAATGTACCCTTACTGTCACACCCATTGCTTTCAATTTTAAATCACAAGGAAAGTAGAGTTTATTACCATGCAGAGTCAGCCATTTCTTTTCAACTGGCCTAGCTGGAGGTTTTCCTGCTCCATTAGCGCTATGGACCAACAAGCAAATGAGCAAGAGATGCTTCATCATCATTATCATCATGGTCTCCCAATCCTGTCTCCACAATGAATAAATATATAAGCGCACTATAAACACAGATACACACACATCGTTTGAATACTATTAACTTATGAGAAGACAAATAAGAATGAATATGGTGCATTGTATAAAATGATAAAAATGACAACCACTTCGTAAATAAACCGAACTTTTTTACCACTATAAAAAGAGCGTTTGTTGATGAACCAAACTCCACATATTCTCACGTACAGAATGTAGTAATCCTGACCTAAACCGGACTATATATAGATGGATACTAGACCTAGAAATTCATAACAGTCATTTTGCATTTTAGTGCCCATTGATATACCCAATCGTAACGACGAATTACCCATAATTAATTTCCCATTTCATGCATTGCATCAACAAGATTTATCAAGATGATCATAAATCATGCAGTCCATTTTTCATGCACATTAGAAAACAAGGGGGGTGGAGTAAGCATGAAAATTCAAGAATGGCCTGGGCGCCTTGCCTTCAGAAGGAAAAGAGAGGCATTCCCTCAAGAAATTCACAAGAGAAAGGGGAAATGAAAAGGGGGGGAAAGTCTCAAGGGAATGGAGAAGGTGGAGAGAGATGGGAGGGGCACATAAGAAGAGGAATTAGTTTTGATTGTGAGAAATTAGAGGAGGAGAAATCCTTAACCAGAATTCAATGCCTCCCACATATTTCTCGGAATAATAGCTACCCAGCTGCTATATCTTTTCTTTCTTCATTTATTATTATATATTTTGGACAGAATGCTTGCATTTCTACACATTTGGCTGGTGCTGATCATTCTATTGCTCTACTTAACTGGTTTTTGTATTTCTTCTAGCCCCTTTTTGGACCCTTTTACGTTTCAAAAATCGTTTAGAGTAAAATTAATTCCTTCTAATTAATGCGGCACATGTTGGCAACTCATTTAATTGATGAGGGTGTGTTTAGTTAATTAATTGCTAGTAATTAATTTTATTCCCTGTCTACGAGTTATTTTTTTTTCATTTAAGTGATGCGACCATGGTATTTAAAAAGTCTAATTATAGTCGCTTGTTATATGATCTCACCCTTGATTGACATTACAATATGGTCCTTTATTGTATTAATCACGACTACTAATTAAGGATGAGATTGTGGATACGGTTATGATAATGTGCCAAAATTTCCTGCGAAAATGTGTAAGTATGTTGTTGAGTTGTTCATAGTCTTTTCAGCATTTTGTTTTACATAATACTCCCTCTTTTGGTAAATTTTTAGTCCATTTTTCATTGAATTTTGTATCTACTACTGCCATTATTTTTTCTACATCATTTACTTAAATGTCATAAGAAATTTAGTAAATCGGACCATTTAATCAATGATTCAAAAAATGGAAATGTATGGTTGTGGTTGTGTCTCATAAAATTCTTCCCATTTTGACTTGACACGGAGATTAAGAAAGTGGAAATGTATGGTTGTAGTTGTGTAAGAAATAAGTGAAATGAAGGTGAACCATACGAATTGTCCAAAAATAGTAAGTGAGAAGAATTTTTTGGAACGACCCAAAAAGGAAAGTGAGAAGATTTTAATGACACGGAGTAATATTTTGGGTTAAATAATTGATTTTTTTAAATAGCTTCTAAAGATATTAGTATTATTTAAAATAGACAAGGGTGAGAATATTATGATCAAATTTTGACTAGATTCCGAAAACACGATTCAATTGAAGCACATGATTATTGCCAAAATGCTGGGCTGGGCATCTTTTCAAATGAAATTCTGAATCTGCACAATACAAACTGTAGAAATTTATAAAAAAAAGTTTTTTATTAGTATATATGACAGCCAGAACCGACAGAATAAGACTTGAGATAAGATGACTTACACACAAGAGATTAAACAAACGTATACGCTACACACACTAATCTTTTCAGCATCAGATAACCGATACCCCATCCAGACACACTAATAACAACACCAGAAAGACCATCCAAACTGTGCACAATTCTGAGACGCTCATATCTGTAGTAGACAGCTATGAAGCTCTCTTTATTTTTGTTAAATACACGATGAACCCTTCTCATTGCTGTTATTGACACTCTTTACTTTCCAAAGAGGGATTTTATCCACCAAATTCCCTTGTCATTCGATGCACCCTCGACTTCTGGCGGATTATCGGATTGGGATGTCTTGTGAAGCTTGTTTACATCATACCCTTCACCTTTTGCCCTCTCAACCAGCTCGTTGTAGGTCGCATCATCAAGATGAGGATTCCGGCACAAAATCTTGAAAGCACCATGCAATAAAAGGACGGCTCAATGAAGTTAGAATCCACAAGAACGAACAACTCTAAAAATATCTGTACTTGGAATTTATGAAAGAATCAGTGGTTATGCTTGGAGTTCCTTCTTTCAGTATACGTCCAGCCCCGATTAGAGCAGTCTAAGGCTTTTAAATGGACTTGTATCTATATTTGGCCCGTGTATAATGACTCAACATTGATAATAAGTGAAATTTGGGGAAAACGAAATGTGTTTTATAATTCCAGACTCACCCTGCTTAATCCTGAGTTCCTGACTAAATCCACCAGCCCCAAAATAGAACCAAACAGCCACACACACACCTAGCACCCTTACCTTTTCTTTTCTTGAAAAATCTATTCTTTGGGAAAATCTCATACCACCTCATACTCCAATCAACTAATGGCTATGGACCTTCTGGTTCCAGGTCAACTTATGTTCTTATAAACTGAGTTCCGAGTTTACCTCGTTTATTTGCTAGTTTATGAAAAAAAATGTAGAGAACGTACATATACTTTAGAGAACCTCCGAAAATTTGTATTATAGATGTTTCCAAAGGTTGAATTTCTTTCCAATTTTTAACAAACACAAATTCACATAAGTTCACCAGTTTCACCTAAATTAACCCTATCCAAGGAGACCATAAGAGGTATGAGAGCATCAAGCTAGGTCTATGATCTTAATCCCATAAAAATGCATCTTACATAAGCAAAGGTTACAAGTCCCCATCAACAAAAATAAAAAATTATAAACAAACAAAAGAGCAACAACATAAACTCAATATCAACTTTAAACATAACTTTCTAGGAGGACCTTGTAACAAAATTGAATCTCTTTTCTTTACTACCTTTTCCTCAATGCTCATTCTCTTAAGGTATGTTTGGTTCAGGGTTTTTGGGAGTGAGAGAAAACTCTCTCCTTCCCTTCACTTTCTATCCCTCCAATTTGGGGAGTTTAGTATAAAAGGCTTTAGAGGGCCTTAGTCTATATCTATATAAACAGAAATTTTTGTATGAAGTAAATGAATAAAGGTTGATTCATTGATTGTAATGCTATGTGGTAAACAAATATATATCAAGTCAGAGACTTGGCAATCCAAAATCCTCTATTCCAACAACTAAGAATTTAGAGAGGAACATTTTGGAGAGCTAAACATATTTCAGATTTTGTAAATATTTGTAGCAAATAATTCCATGATAGGTAACCATTAACAAGATTACGAAATTGCTCAAAATAGGAGTAAAACATAGAAAAAGTTCAAATAGAACTATGTACGTTTTATTGCCAAATTAGGAATTATTTTGTCATATTAAGAAAAAACAACAATCTAAACTTCCCAAAATAGGAGGAATGAGTCCTATTTAGGGGAGAAAACAATATTACACCTATTTGAGAAATTAGACTACGATTTACTCCTATTTAGAGGTTTTTATCAAAAACATTTCAGTGGCCCTTTTAACGACAGGTCATGTTCATCAACATTTGGATTAAGCCCCACATCTTTCTTAGATCCAAAATGACCTACTTATGTTGTTAGATTCTTAAAGTCAGAATTCCATTTACCAGAAAGTGCTCACATGATCTGATAAAATAGGACACGAGAATGTGACAGAACTGTAAATAAGTATGAAGAGAATTGAGAAACATACCCAAAGATAGCTTCTGCTAGGTTGACCAATCAGAGCATACTGATAATCGTTGTCTATGAACAAAACCCAGTAGTCTCCTGTGACAGGGATGATGGGCAAGAAAGGGGGCACATAAAACTTGACCTTAAGCTTAGCCTCATCACTCTTGGGATCAGCTTTGTAAGCACTTCCCTCGATGAAGGCTCTCTTCCCGTTATTCCAGGTCTCATTCAACACATGGATTGTACCATCTTCGTTAAGCGTGTACGTCGCCCTGGTGTTTACCCCATTCTTGGGCTGAAACGTTGACGGAAATGAAGCAATCTCATACCATCTCCCCATGTACCTCTCCACATCCAAACCCTTCACCACGCTCATCTCTTTCTTGCTCGCCATTTCTTCTTCTTTTGCACAATCAAACTTGATTGCAGGCTTGCAGCAGAGGAAAACTTTCGAATTCCAGAACCTTTCTAGGCTTTTCTAGGGGGTTTCAAAGCTTTCTCGACTTGGATAAGGTATCTTGCTTAGGGGGGAAGATTATATATAGTGACTGGACACTTCGAGAGGTGGAGAGCACTCGATGAGGCGTGATATTTTAAACATTTTCTCATGGGATACTACGAAAGTATGAATTATGGATACCCGATTTTCCCATATCATGTTTTCTTGTTTCACGTTTTTACTTTTTGTTAGATTTTGGTAATGGCTTTTTCAACAAAAGGCTGATATTTTTTTGAATAGTATTTGCTCTAAATAGAACTAAATAATGGGAAAATTCCTAAATAGGAGTACTTCTTAATTTATTTCCCAAATAGAACTAAATTAGATAGTCTTCCGGTTCTGCCCATTCTCACGCACATCTCCCCTCTCTTTCCTTTCTCATCTCCTCTCTACTTCACATTCTCCACCCAAATCTTCCTTCATTTATGTAAATTCTTCATTCACTTTCGCCGCCACTCTTTACCAGTTCAACCTCCACCAATTTCGTCACTCTTCAACGATTTCTGATCGTCATTCCAGTTATATGAGTTAATTGATTCATGTTTGTTCTTTGTCTTCTTCATCTACTCATCCTCAATCTCCTTTCCTTACTCTCTATTTTTACTCTCCAGATTCTTTTTTTATTATTCAGATCTTGAAATAAAAAATTACATTTTAGATCTGAAAATTTTGAATATGAAAAGGCAAGGCTTCAATTCAACAATGGTTATCGAAACTTTTTGGTTTCAACTTTTTCTGTTAATTTTGTTTAATTTATTTTTAAAAATAGAAGTACTTTTTCTAATCATCTGAAATCACAAAATGACATAATCTTTTTTAACTCGAGTATTGCTTCGTCAAAAACAGAAACTCAAGTATTGCTTTGAAAATTGCCATTTAATGCCATTATTAGGCACTGCCATGTTTTAATCGTTTGGTAATTAGTTCCATTTTATGGTACTAATTAACTTTATGGATAAATATTTATTTTAATGCCATGTTTTTGTGGCAGTGAATGTCATGTTTTATCTAAAAATTTCATGATTTTTTAATCTCAAAATACCATATTTTGGATCTTGAAAGTCATAATATATTATGTAAATAACAAAATGATTGATGAGGCAGTCAAGCCAGAGATCTGCCACGGCTTCACCGGAATAGGCGGCAGAAACAACGAAGGCGGTGATGGTGGTGGTGGTGGCAACAGCGCGGCGGTGGCAGATGAGCCGATAGGGTGTGGCAGAAGCGGCGAGAACGTTTAATGAGGCGGCCGACGGCGACTGACGGCGGAGACTACGACCGGTGGCGGCAGTAGAGATGTGGTGGTTGTGCCCTAGGGTAGCGATTGTGTCGTCTACTTGTTTGTTCACTGTAATATTTTGTTTTATTATTTTGTTTAAATAATTAATAAAGAAACCATGCTATCAGGGGCGGATCCAGGCTCGAGAGATGGGGTGGGCTAAGCAGTAGTAATTTTTTTACTATACATACCAAATTTAGCCCATGGTTGTTATCGAACAAAGATTTTTTTGAATTATATACTCGAGTTCGAGCTTGATTTCGAATCTAATTTAATGAATTGAGTTTAACAAGTTTCGAACTCGAACACAAAGTAGGTTTTGAGTTTGAATAATTATTCAAGCCGAGATCGAACATAGTGATGTTTCGATCCGAACACGAGCCTATCGTTCACATATAAATTATACTATTGTACATATCATAAAATTTAAACGTTTTAGTGCAATTTTTATAAATTTATTAATGATTAATAAAAATTTGAATACTTATTGAATAATTTGAACATGAATCTATTAACGAGAATAGTCTAAACTTCTACATTCGAGCATGTCTATCGAGCATTGAAATCCAAATTTGAGATAGTTTGGATTTCAGGGACTACAACATGTGGAGGATCCTCATTGACTAGATCTTGCACTGTTGTAGGTATAGGTTCAGAACTCCCTTCACCAGTTTGACGATTCACTTTCGAAAAGAATGATGAAATCAACTTCTTTCCCTTCTTGGCAACATGTTCATTATCCATTCTAAAAAACATTTTCAATATTGGTATATATTAAAATACTTATATATAAAAAATAAAACTATTTAATTATGTACTGAAAAATTCAATTAATAATCAAAACGATTGTATGATTCCCTAGCCCTAAAACTCTAAAATGCTAAAAATAATAATAATTAATACATTAATAGTTTAATACACAATCGGTTAATCACAATTTACAAATTCACGGCAGAAGTTCATAACTTCACTGATTCACAAATTATTTGTGGAGTGGGCTGACAAATAATTTAGCTGGGATGAGATTTGAAAATGTACCAATACTATTATAAAAAAAATTGGGCTGGGCTGAAGCCCACCCCTGGCCTATCATACATCCGCCCCTGCATGCTATCATTAAGGGTAATTTTGTCACATCCTTATCTTTAGCTCCTATGAAATAATCAGGTCTTATTTTTGCACTTTTGTACAGTACTATTTTACTCCTATTGAGGTAATTTATTCTTTTTTGAACTTTGGGTCGGGGTGGGGAGGATACTTCAAGACCCAGACCCACCCCGTGATTTGACGGGGCGGATCTGCCCCGCCCCGTTACCTGCACGGGTCCAAACTTGACCCATGACCCGCCTCATGCAGGGCAGGTCTGCCCCGCCCCGCCGTAACGTAATTAGCTAGTATGTATTTTTATTTGTGAGAAGTTGTTACCAATTGAATCTACATAAAGTTTATCTTTAAATAATTATTAAACATTAATATATTAAATCAAATTCACGATACGCTAGAAATTTCAGAAGTTAAGGAAAAATCACTTAGACTTGAATAGTTAATCTATTTAATTATATTAATACTTAAATATAGTATTAAAGTGATATATATAAAGAAGACATTGATAATTCATCGTTCATCTCAATCTAATATATATTGATATATTATAAGATCAAAGAATTTATGATTTATTATATACACACATATGTATGTTGAAGTATATTTGTAATATAATTTATGAAAAAGTATGTATATACTTATATATTGAGCGGGTCAGGTCGGAGTGGGTCGAGGCAGCACGGGTCAATATTGATACCCGGATCCGCCACATTGTATAGGCGGGGCGGGGCGGGGCGGACTCGCCCCATTTACAAGAAGGGGCGGGTCAGGCCCGCCTTAAATGTCTCGGGCCAGGGCGGGTCATCGCGGGGCGGTTTTTTTACATCTCTAACTTTGTGTAGGTATCAAACTCACTGGAAAAGAAATAGCCTTAAAAGAATTTGATTTCTAAATTGAAACAATGACAAAAGTAATACTATAGACTTTTAACTTTTAAGTGAATAAAAATAAGATTACTTTTAAATTTGGACAAAAAAGAGACAATAATGAATGTGCGAAAATATCTTTGTTTGTCTTATTTCTTCAATAGATCAATTTTCCCTTGCAATCTTCTCACATCCCGCCTTGCCCACCATCGATGTTCTTTCTGCAATCTTCTCCTATCGCACCAATAGTTTCGTCGTGTGTGGCCACCACACCACCATCTTCATCATGCGTCGTCGCCGCACCTCACCACAATCCCTTGCCGTCATCGTCGATCTCTTCGATGCAGATAGTCGTGGCTAGGGGTGGGCATAACGGTTCGGTTTGACCGAACCGAACCGTATCAAACCGAATTAAATCAAACCGAAACCGAATCATTTGTAATTTGGTTTGAGTTTGGTAGTATTCCTCCCAACACGTATTAAACCGAACCAAACCAAACCGAAATCATAAAACCGAATAAAACCGAACTAATCTAAAAATGAAATACTCCCTCCGTCCCCCTATAATTGTCCCATTTTTCCATTTTTTGGATGTCCCTTTATTATTGTCTCATACCATATTTGGTAACATTTGTGTGGCTCTGATACATTCTTACTTTATTTCCACTTTATCAACTCATTACCAACCACATAATTCTACTTTTCTTAAAAACCAACCTCCCTTGCGTACCAATATTAGGGGGACGGAGGGAGTAATTCCTTATTTTTTTAAAATAAGAAATCAAAACCAACTTACACCAAACTAAAACAAACCAAAATATAATATTTCTCTCATTAATTTGATTAATGTTAATCTTTTTGAAGCTTTAATTCTTTAATTTTAGGGAAAAAAGGCAAATAAGCCCACATACTAACAAAAAAAGGTCAAATAAGCCCTTATATAGGAGACTATGCCCGGCGGTCGTCATTTGGGGCGGTTCCCGTGGAATTTTTTTGATGAAATTGTTTAAGCAAATTATTCATTAAGTTTAGTTTACTCATACCAAATTTCAGCTAAAACTTCAACCGAGAAGGCATTCAAATGAATTCTTGAAGATAACTGCGCAGTTAAAAGCGCAGTTATCTTCAAGAATTTATTTGAATGCCTTCCCAATTGAATTGTTAGCTGAAATTTGGTATGAATAAACTAGACTTAATGAATAAGATTCTCAAAAACTTTCATTAAAAAATTCCACCGGAAACTACCCCAAATGGCGATGGCCGGACAGAGTCTCCTATATAAGGGTTTATTTGACCTTTTTTGGTTAGTATGTGGGCTTAATTGCCCATTTTCCCTTAATTTTAGTGTCCAGGACTAGAGTTCACTAAAAGACTTACATTCACAACTATAACAATTATAGTGGTTTAAGTAGATAGTATTTAACTATAATTTATTATCAACTACTACTATATATTTGGTTCATTACTTACAAGCACCAGCTTTATTTTTGTTTCGGCTTTATATATAATTTGATTCATTCTCGTTGTTGTTGTTGCTTACAAATGTGTCATGCTTATATATTTTTGATTCATATGTGTTTTGTTACTGTTTGCAAATTTATATCTAACATTATATTTGGTTCATTACTATCGCTTCTTGGTTCATTATTTTGAGTTAATTTTTTTATTTCAATCCAAACCTTAATACTTTGGTAAACCGAACTCCAAACCGAACCGAACTGTACCAAACCGAAACTTAATCGGTTTGTATTTGATACATTTTCTATCAAACTGATTAAACCGAAACCGAACCAAAATCGAAGAAAATCGAACCGAAAATCGAAATGCCCACCCCTAGTCGTGGCAGGTGTCATCAAATAAGTGACGGTAATGGATGCCAATTTCACGACTGTTGTGGTGTTGTGTAGCGGCAACACTTCTGGTTGCAACTTGCAACTAGGGCAGTGTAGTGGCAGTGTTTAGGGTTAGCGGTGATTGTGGTGCGACCATTAGATTTGCAGGCATTTTTGGACAGTGTCAGAAGTTGTTGAGACCGTGGAGGAGGCTAGTGGTAGGCGCTAGGGGTGGGCTATGCATTGTGGACGATGATGGGGGTGGTGCTGGTAACTCTTAGGGCAAAGGCGACCCATATTTTGTATTTTAATAAAAAACTAAATATGCGTAGTCACTCATAATTGGTAACTGGGCGGCAAGTCACTGATTGAGATGGTCAATGTGAATGCGGTGGGCACTGGTTAGTGTCACTGTTGATGGTGGTCATTGGCCAGAAGTGCTTACTCCAGGACATAGTTACTGTGACGTTTATCACTCTAACGTTGATCACTCTGGCGTTACTCAAGAAGCCGTTGCAATGGTCCTTTAAACCTTTTTAGTCTCATTTTTTGAAACTTAAAAAATATTTGTTTTTTATCCATTATTAATTTGTATTAATTTTCTTGTCCTAACCTCTTCTATATTTACTCCTTTTTAAATAAATAATTTTAATTACTAACATGAGTTTTTATTTTTTAATTGCAACACAGATTGAGATAATAAGACCCTTAAAACATAAAAAATCAGATTTTCTCTCTCAAAAAATTCAGATTTGTGTATATTAGAGGCACATAACAGATTCAAAAAATGGAACAACTAATCATTTGTAGCACGTATAATTCTTAATCTCTATATATAAAGAAGCATAGTAGCTACTGTTTTGGAGGTAAAAAGATCCCCCTAATTTAAAGGGACAATTGGAATTGTATATGCAATTATTATAAAGATGAGATGTATTATTCGTATATACACTCTGTTATACGTAATTATAATAATGTAATATATATGTTATAATGTAAACTTTAATTACCCGCATAAATGCTGATTAATTGACTTTCAAATGTCACATGTAAGCATTTACGGAGTATTAATTACCGATACAATTTTATTACCAATAAAATTACGGAGTAGGTAAATTTGGATCTAATCACAATCAACTTCGTCAACACGGTCTTCAAACGATGAATCCAGTGGAACTTACCCCACCTGCCTCTTCGAGATTGTTCCTCCTACCACACGAATACGCTAGTTTCAATATCATTCGTCCTCTCCTCAATCATCAAGCTACTCCGTGAAAGTATGAAGAATCATGAGAGCAAGATCTCCCTCATCTCTCATAGATGAGAATTGGACTCAAAACCTCTCACTACAGAGACACTTGGGGGAGGGTGGTCACGTAGTGAGCCACACCAACCTTCCCGTTAAAGATTGTTTTGTAAAAAATGATTGTGCACTATCCCCGATCAAGGGCATAGGTGGCAAGAGATGGAGATTTTTTTCGAGATAGGTAACTCCTAAAAATTTAAATTTGTGTATATTTGAACGTTGCTGGTTGCAAAGACTCATTTAACCCTTCTTGGCTTCTTTCTACGTACTTGATACTTCCTGGAATACATCTTCATGCTTAAGAAACCCATTATTTGCGGAGACCGATCATTGGATTATAAGAGTAGCAAACATAATTGGTCTCCAATATAAGACGGTCCAATTTTTTTGTTTTGTTTTTATATTGTAATAAATTGGGCTGATTGTTTTTAATGCTCTTCATTTCATATTTCTTGTTAGCTTGTAGAAATTTGGTGAGCATGCACTAGTTTAAAGTAGTTGAAAGTAGTTATCAATTATTTAAATAGGCATATAATCAGCTAAGCAAGCAAAAGTAATTTATTAGTAAAATTTACACCCATATATTTAACACAAATAAGCTAATACCCTTTATAGTAATTTTAAACACAATCAGCCATTTCAGCCAATATATTACCAAATACTTTCACTTCATAAAATTTAGTCTTTTCAGGCTTTTCAGCCATTCCAGTCGTCACCAAACATGCCCTCAATTTTAAAAAGAAACGGCTGCATGTTTGATGCCTTTGTACGTCTTGAAATGGATGAAGATGAGAGAATTTAAAAGATTGAAATGTGAAAAAAGATACTACTAGTTCATAACCTTGGGAAGGGATGTATGGTGATAATTTAAGCTCCAGCTCCTTGTGGCCACGGTTTTAAGCAGCTTGAAAATCTCATTTGACCATCACTTACATTATAGACAGATTAATACTTCACTAATTAATCTCTACCATCAAAATATGAATAATAAGGTTTGAAGAAACATATTAGTGTGATGAATAAGTTTTTATTAAACTGAAAAAAAAAGATTTGGTCAAGAAACCATCTACACCGAATTTATATGAAACAGCATTTGATTCCATAAGTTTAAATGAAAAGTTTCTATACTATGCACAAATCTGAGGCTCATATTTATTATTGTTCTGTACTAGGCAGCTATAAGCTCTCTTTATTATTGTTCTGTACAGAATGAATCCTTTGCAGTTGTTATTGCTGTTTTTATTGGCACTCTTTACCTTCTGAAGAGGGATTTTATCCACCGAATTCCCTTACCATTCGATGCACCCTCGACTTCTGGCGGAGTAGCAGATTGGGGCGTCTTGTGAAGCCTGTTTACATCATACCCTTCATTTTTTGCCATCTCAACCAGCTGATTGTAGGTCGCATCGTCAAGCTGAGGACTCCGGCACAGGATCTTGAAAATTTCGTGAATCAAAAGGAAAACTTAAAGTTAGAAACACAAGAACGAATAAATGAAATAAATACGCATATCGAATTTATGGAAAGATCAGCGGATATGTTCCTTCTTTTGGTAAAGGTCAATCCTGATAAGGGTAGTCTAAGGCTTTATAAATGAGCTTGTATCTACATTTGTCCTGTATATGATGACTTAACATTGCTTTTAGGCAATCTTCGGGGGGAAACGAACTGCATTTTGTAATTCCAGACTCACCCTGCTTAATCCTGCCTAAATCCGCCAGACCCACAAGGTGACAATAGACCCCAAACAGCCACACACACCTAGCAATCTAACATTCTTTCATTACCTTTTCTGGCAATTTGGCAAAAGCAATTCTTTGGGGAAAACCTGTTACCACCTCGTATTCCATTCGACTAATGGCTATTGCCTATTGCCAGTCTGTTTCGAGGTCAACCTATGTTCTTATAAGTAAGTTCTGAGTTGACCTCATTTGTTTACTAGTTTATGAAAAAACCTACATTTCTAGAGAACTTGCATTTACTTTAGAGAACCTTCAATAACTTATATCATAGAGGGTTTCCAGGGTTGAATTCTATTCCATTTTTTAGTACACCTAATCTCACTTAAGTTCACTAGTTTAGCCTAAATTTACTCTATCCTGCATAAAGATGCATCCAACACTCCTACATAGGCAAAGATTATAAGTCACACACACAACAAAAATAAAAGATCTTTTGGAAATTGTTCCAAATAGGAGTAAAAAATGGAAAAAGTTCAAAAACAGAACTAAGGATGTCTTATTCCTAACAGAGGATATGTTTTGTCATATTAAGAGAACACAACAATCAAAAACTTCCCAGAATAGGAGAGAATGAATCCTATTTAGGGAAAAGCAATGTGGCTCCTGCTTGAGAAATAAGACTACGTTTTACTCCTATTTGAAAAATCACTGTTTTTATCCTATTTAGGGAATTTTCTGAAAAGCATTTCTATAGTCAGGAAACTCAGGACAGTTTATGTTCATCAACATTTAGATTAAGGACCACTTCTTGCTTAGAAACAAACTGACCTACTTATGTTGTTAGGTTTATTCAAGTCAGAATTCCATTAATCAGGAAATGCTAAAATGACCTGATAAAAAGTAGGGAAACAAGAATGTGAGAGAACTGTAAATAAGCATGAAGAGAATTAAGGAACATACCCAAAGATAGGTTCTGAGAGGATGACCAATCAGAGCATACTGATAATCGTTGTCTATGAACAAAACCCAGTAGTCTCCTGTGACAGGGATGATGGGCAAGAAAGGAGGAACAAAAAACTTGACCTTTAGCTTGGCCTCATCACTCTTGGGATCAGCTTTGTAAGCAGTTCCCTCGATGAAATCTCTCTTCCCGTTATTCCAAGTCTCATTCAACACATGGATTGTACCGTCTGGGTTGAGCTTGTACGTCGCCCGGGTGTCCACCCCATTCTTGGGCTGAAATGTTGACGGGAACGAAGCTATCTCATACCACCTCCCCATGTACCTCTCCACATCCAAACCCTTCACCACGCTCCCCATTTTTCTTCTTTTCCACACTCAAGAACTTGATTGCAGCAGAGGAAAATTTCAATTTCAGTGCTTTCTCGACTTCGATATGGTTTCTTGCTTGGGAGGAAGCATATATATAGTTTTAGTTTTTCGAGAGCATTCAATGAGGCGTGGTATCCGTATATTTCAAACATTTTCTCATGGGATACTATCAATTGTGGATATCCAATTTTGTACTCCGTAGTCGTGCAGTGTGCTTTTTTAATGTACTAACAACTATTAAATAAGCTCTCGAACTTTTATAAAAAATGTAAATAAGTCCTTTTACAAGAGACTTTGTCCGGATGTGGCCATTTAGCGAGGTTTTCTGTGGAATTTTTTGATGATTTTTTTGAGCATCTACTTCATTAAGTCTAGTTTAGTCATACCAAAGTTCATCTAGTTTTTCAATTGAGAAGACAGCCAAATGATTTTCTGAAATATACTGCGTTGTCTAACTGCGCAATTTTCTTTAAAAATTCATTTGACTGTCTTCTCCGATTGAATTTTTAGCTGAAGTTTGGTATGAGTAACTAAACTTAATGAAAAAGATGCTCAAAAAATTTCATCAAAAAGTTCCACCGTAAACCACCTCAAATGGCGACGGCCGGACAGAACCTCCTATAAAAGGACTTATTTGCACTATTATGAAAGTTCGAGGCCTTATTTGATAGTTCTTCCTTTAATTTATAATAATGTTAACATTATTGATCGTATGAAATTCGATCATATGACTTCACATGTTAATTTTAGACTGGTTCCGGTCCTAAACAAGACCAAACCAGATCATTACTGATCAGAACAGATTTAAATAGATCAGATCAGATTTAAACAGACCAAACATGTCTTAAACATGTCAGATCAGACCAGGCTTTGAAAGTGTTAAAATACACATAGACCAGACATTTATCAGACCAATTCTGATCAGACCAAATTTAAACAAACTAGATTAGACTTTGACAGTTGTCAAATACACATAGACCAGACATTTATCAAGCCAATTCACACTAGATGAGATCATACCATACAAGAAAATTTCAACCCAAGTAAAACACAAGAGTGTCATAATGGTCCTATCGAATCACAAGGTACTTGACACCCAATTTTATACTACCTCCGTCCCGCTATGATTGTCCCATTTTACCTTATCGGATCGTCCCACTAAGATTGTCCCATACCAAATTTGGTAAAGTTTGTGTGGCTCTAAATCATTCTTACTCGATTCTTACTTTATCAATTCAATATCAACCACATAAATCATTTTTTATTAATTTGTGTGTCACTCCCTCTTGTCCCATTGTTAGCGGGGCGGAGGGAGTAATTAAGACATGTGATAGGGTATATTATAGTGGACCCCTGGTCCGATGACTATTGGGTATGGACAGCAGACTGAATACATCTATGTATAATATTCACATTATTGTACATTATTATTTTTATCCGGTATTCTAGATTAGCTATTTATATTAAGGGAAATTTGATTTTGCACTCTATTTTTTTAAGTGATATTGAACTTTGCACTTCATTTTCAAAAATCTTTGATTTTGCACCCTATCATATACCAACTCCCTCCTACTAAAATTGAGAAGGAAAGGGGTGGTACAATTATTAATAAAAGTGGTTTATGTGGTTGATATTGATTGATATAGTAAGAATAAAGTAAAAAAGATAGCCACACAAACTTTACCAAATTTGGTATGAGACAATTTTAGTGTGATTTCCTGAAAAGGTAAAATGAGACAATATTAGCGGAATGGAGAGAGTAGCATTTGTGATGAAAAAGTAACGAATGTGGTGCAATGTCAAATGATTTTTAAGTGAAATACTATATGATGTAAAATCATTTTTTTCGAAAATGAGGTGCGTAGTCCAATATCACCAAAATAATGGAGTGTAAAGTCGAATCTCTCCTTTATATCATCAACACTTTTATGTAATCGGTCTATCGGGTTCATATTAGAAGCTTAGACTCGAATTTTCCTATATATACCACCTTGTAAACCCTAAGACATGACTCCTAATTCTTAACACACATTCATCTTTTTCCTCTATTAGATTAAACTCATATAAATTATATGTTTGAATACCCCTATTATCCGTCAACATGTTTATCTAGAGTATTCTTTTTATATTTTGAATTTGATTTCAATGTCTAATCTCCTCTAAATAATCCTTCCCTATTTTAAAGTTTACTTTATTAGGCTTTGACACATTATACAAGGAGGAAAGAGTAGGGGTAATGAATAATGTAGAAAAGTTGGGAGAGAAGATGGAAAAGTATCAAACATAAAAATAAATGTAAGAGTAATTGAGTGTTTTTAATGAAACACCCAATTACCATAAAGGAAAAACTCAAAAAAGTATCAAACATTTAAATAGCGAATAATGTAGAGGAACTTATATCCTCTAACACTGATAGGCAATTGGCCAACTATTTTGGAACCCAAGTCTCAAAGGTGTATACGGTAGTAACTCCAGTAGTAACTTTGTTACCATTGTGAATTATGTTCAATTTTTACACTTAAATGATCATGCAATACTCAAAGTAATTTTAGACATATTTTTTATAATAAATTTATTTCTGTAATATTTTAGAGCATCTCCAACGATTAGCTAATTACCCTCATAACTTGACTAGCCACATAATCATTTGCATCAAAATTAAAATGTACTCCAATGATTAGCTATCCTCTTCATTTATTATTAATAATATTATATTTAACAATTCTCTTTGGTCAAGCTAGTAACTCATTTTGGCTAATTAGCTTTCTCAAGCAAAAGAAAGAGTAATGCTCTAATGATAAGCTATTAGCTTTAAAATTTTCCGCAAGTCCGGAATAATTGGAGACGCTCTTAAAAAACTTCTTTAAACCTTCCATTAAATCAATTGGCTCTAAGCTACAATGATATAGTACGTATGTTCTTCTCTGTCTCTTCAAAATCTCGTGTGGTCGTGTATATTAAATATTTATGAATGTTTATGCAAGTAATTTTGTCACGTTTAACTATGTTCTCTGATCAATTGTATTATACGAAGTATTTTGCACGAGTAAGTGTATACTAAGGGCACATCTCATGGTTTATGTCCGTGTATGTTTCATGTGAAATTATAAGAAATTCATAAGACCTTTAAGTGCTAACGGAGGTAGGAGTCTTGAGACAATCAGGACTCAGGTTTACCTAGAAGCAGCCACCCTTCAAAGAGTTCGTAATAGCTCACCCACTCACTGATTGAGGACTCTTGCGTCGAAGATGCATGGGGCTAAGCGGTCTGCCGAAGCTGTGGGATGTCAAAATACATATGTCGGCTTGAGTAACGCACACATCGGTGAGAATCCAATGCCCCGAAGTTCAAACTTTTCATCAATAAAAATGCATGTCACAAAAGTCCCATAATGATGTTTAAATAATTATAATCAATTAATTATTAATATATTTTAGATATAATGCTGAAATTATAATTGTTCTGGTATATATTAATGGTTTCGAACAATTTTAGATATCTGATAAAGTTATCATTTCATATGGAGTATTAAATGATAGACTATTTCTTGTAGTTAATATATATATATATATATAGAAAATACAATTATCTTTTAAAATTGAAAAAGTTGAATTCAAGTAGATAAAAATTGAAACTTTAAATTTCGAATTAAAAAGAATGGAGTAATATAAGATTCTAAGGTTATATGGAAGGAAAAATGACATGTATATTACTAACAGAATTTTATCAGGAAAAAATGGCACAATTGTAATTACCAGGCTTTTGATTTCCAAAAATAAAACAAATTTTCCTTTTTCCCAAAATGTGACCCACAAATACCGCTCCACCCATTTCATTTGTTCCTTCGCACTTCTCTTCTTCTCCGCTACAACTGCCTTCGCTGTGCCCCTTTCTCCAAGCCAACGAGCGTCGGCCTCAACCTGCACCGGATCCACACCGCCAACGGCCCAATGCTCCAGCTTAATGTTCGCCACATCCACGTCTTCGACTTCTCAGGTTGGCCATTCTAGCTCCTTTCTTCCCTCTCTTCTCATTTCTCTTTGGATGGCGGTTCAACAACCATTGAAATCATCCAGTGGTGAACGCGGATGGCTGGTGATAATGATGTGGCGAGCGACGGCGTGGCGAGATCTATTGGATTTTAAGGACGATGAGAGCCGCGATAGATCTAGATCCAGAAAATCTGACGCAAGATCTATTGATTCCACTGCGAATAGATGCCTTGGAAAACGATTGGGATGGTGTTAGGCATCTATGGGGCACCTGGAGGGGACTGGACTGCGTCGAAGACGGAGCAACACCGATCTGAGGGTGGCTTGGAGATGTGAGGGGGCTGGGGAGGTGGTTGGGCAATGGGAGGGGGAGGGGGGTTGGCTGGGGGCTGGGGAGTTGTCTGGGGGTTGGGAAGGTGGCTGGGGTGCGGAGTCGAGTAATGGATGGGGCAGTGGTAGGCGGTGGTCGGTGGCAGCAGTTAGCTGCGGCACTTTTGGTCGTCGTTGGGTTGAGTAACTATGGTCGGGAGTAACTGTGGAGGTGTCCTCGTGCCGCCGCCGGCGGGCATGTCACTGTGGCATTGCGGCAGTGGCAGTCAGTAATTGGGGGCGGCTTGTGGCAGTCACTAGACGGAGCGTGGCAGTCTCTGGGTCCGGTGATGGTAGCGGTGGCGTTAGGGCGGGGGTAGGCTAGGAACGGGGCTGAGGGGGGCGGAGGTTCGGGGCAGGTGACACCGGCAATGGCGTGTCACTGTGGTCGGGGTTGGTGTGTCACTGTGGCCGGTGGGGCAAAGTCATTGTGACGGCAGAGTCATTGTGACGGCAGAGTCATTGTGACGGCAGAGTCACTTTGACGGCAGAGTCACTTTGACGGCAGAGTCACTTTGACGGCAGAGTCACTGTGACGGCAGAGTCACTGTGACCGGAGTCACTGTGACCGGAGCAACGGCGGTGGCGGTGGTGCCGGCAGCGGCGGCAGCGGCGGTGTTGTCGGCGGTTACAGAGGTGCTGGTGGCTGCAAAGGAATATTATAAAAATAATAAATGTATGATTAAATAATAGGAATAAATGACTTTTAGTCACTTTTTGGGAAAATTTAAAACTAGTCACATTTTTGTCATTTTAATTCATTTTAGTAATATTGGAATAAAAAGGACTTAAATAATAGGAATAAATGACTTTTAGTCACTTTTTGGGAAAATTTAAAACTAGTCACATTTTTGTCATTTTAATTCATTTTAGTAATATTGGAATAAAAAGGCCTTTTATCGGACAATAAATATGACTAGTTAGTTTTTTTTGGGACAAAAATATGATTAGTCATTGTATACGAGTTACTAAACAAGAGTCAATATGGTGTATTTCAGAACGACAAGTCATTGATAAATAATGAGTCAACGAGAATTAGTCAATGAATATGTTACCTATTTGGAAAATTTTAAAATAAGTTATATTTTTATCGTTTGAGTTTAATTTAGTAATTTTCATGAAAAAGGCCTATGGAATAAGTTCCATTTCTTGAGAATTGATATTCCCATATTTTCCATTTGCAGTGTCCCAAATTGATAGTATAATTTCATTTTTTGTCCCATACTTTCTCCGTTTTTAAATAAATGCAACGATCAACATTTCACACTTGCCGAGACATAACTTTGACCATTAATATAAATGATTTTGTATTAGTAAAAAAATTTAAAAAATTAGATTATGAAAATTTACAATGAGACAAGTTTAACAATATTTTTTTCATAAAATAATATTATTACATTAATAAATAAAAATGTAGTCAAACTAGAACATGTGAATAGTATAAAAGTCAAAGTGTTGCATTTATTTAAGAACGGAGGTAGTATATGTTTCTATAAAGCGTTCTTCAACCTTACCTCCAGGCCGGGTAACTCAATATTCGTAAAAGGTGCAACATTCCTTTATTTTTTTTGCATATTTTTCCTATAAAATGTCCACTTTAACCTTACCTCTAGGGGTAACTCAACCTTTGTAAAAATATTATTTTCTATACAAAGATAATTAAGTAAATTTTTCTCATATTTTAGTAAAAAATATGGACAATTATAACCTCATCTTTTATAACTTAGTAAAGTTTAATAGACATTTGAAACAATAAAATAAAAGTTGTGCAATTTAAAATACGATAGTATAAACTAATTAATTAAAAAAAAGTTGATAACGTTTTAAGGGGAAGCAGCCATCTAACAGCCATGATGTGCGGTTTGAAAATGTTGATGCATACTTTGAATATCATTGTGAAATCAATTATTTTTTGACAACCATTCCAAAGCACTATTAAAAAGAATTGTCCTCAAAAGTAATGATTGAGCTGGAGAACACAAGATGACAAGCTCCTGATATAACTTGCACTTTTAGAACTACACGCACAAAAACAAGTCATTCAGGAAATGAACACATTATCATCTTTATCTCTTCTCTCTATCATATTCATCTTTTCTATTTTCTCAACACTGGGAGAATCAAAGGCAAGCTATTTCCCAGGAAGCTACAAAGCTTCAGTAGTGAAGAAACAAGCCCAACCTTCTCACCCAAAGTTGCCATATGAAGTCAAGTACTTCCCCCAAACTCTTGACCACTTCACTTTTCTACCCAGAGGCTACAAAATCTTCTACCAGAAGTACCTCATCAACAAGGACTATTGGCATAAGGGAGCCCCAATCTTTGTGTACACTGGAAATGAAGGAGATATTGATTGGTTTGCTGGAAATACTGGTTTCTTGCTTGATATTGCTCCAAAGTTTCATGCTCTTCTAGTCTTTATTGAAGTATGATATCTTCCCTCAACTCAAAACTATACAAAAGTAACTTCTCATAGATTTTTTTGATAAAAAGATCTTTTATCAGTTTATGTATTCTGTAAGAAGTTTATTATTATTATTATTATTAGTTTCAAGGCTAAATTTGCTCTTTTGATAGTACTATAAATACTCCAACCTTAGTCACAGTCCAAAATTACAACACTCACCAAACAAGCACTTGTACAGATCAGACATGTGCTTACATAGTACATACTGTCTAATTTAGAAAAGTTGTTTTTGAATCACAGTATATAAATTGTCCTGGTCCATGTACCCAAAAATATGAAAAAAGAAAAGCATTGTCCTCATTACTCCAATCAGTATACATATGCAGCAGAGGTATTTCATACTACTCACTTAAATGAAGTATCTAGTTTGACTTAGGTATTGATTTCCCTTAAATGCCTTTCAATTAAAGATTTAAACAATGTCAAAAAGATAGTGAGCACTTTCATCTATATAGAGGAAAAAAGGCTTTTGTAACCTTCAGGAGTTGTTTGAGGTTTCAATCCTGCAACGAAGGTTCTCCGAAATCACTCATTCGAATTCTCGGGAAAGCTATTGGAGATTTACACGGCCATTAATTTCTCTACCAGAGGAACTAATCAGCCCATAGGTTCCGTACACTTACGTTACATATTAAAAGGTCGTTTGTTACCCAAAATATGACTAGAAATGGAAATGTTACTTAATTTAGTCATCTCGAAAAAGAAAGTGAGTATTTATATTGGGTTGGGAGGTTATGATAGTGTAGGGATTTTCTAATTAGTTTCTCATTGAAGTGATCAATAATACTCCAAGGACTAGTAAGAGTAATGCTTATATATTGTATTATGCAGCATAGATATTATGGAGAATCAATGCCATTTGGGAAAAAATCATACAAGTCAGCAGAGACACTTGGGTACTTGAACTCACAGCAGGCCTTGGCTGATTATGCAATTCTTATAAGGAGTTTGAAGCAGAATCTGTCCTCAGAAGCTTCTCCTGTTGTGGTGTTTGGTGGCTCCTATGGCGGAAGTAAGCTCAATGAACCTTATCAAACCAAAGTCTCCATCCCTTTAGCATAACAAAATAAATTAAGGAAACCTACAGTCCTACATATTCAGTAAAATATTCCACTTTTGCTGTACAGATAGTATAACAATATCAAATTCGGTCTATTTCCTTGATTTTGCTAGTTTGCTTACATTCGGTGTATTACTATTGCTAGTTTACAGATGTGCTTGTAGCCTTCTGGAAAAATTTATGACACAAGTAAAGAATCACAAGTAATATCAATTGATTTTGCAAAATTGACACATAAATCAGGAATAAACTTTTTTGAATTGATTTTAAACATGCAAACTGTTATACAATATCTTCAACTATTTCATCTATTAGATTAACCTTTTAGGAACAGATCAGATTTTTTATTTGCTCCAATGTTAGGCACTTAGGCTTATCCCATCATGGTGAAATAGAACTCACATAAATGGCACTTTAATTTACTATTGATGATGCAGTGCAAGTATATTCTTATGTGTTAAATGAAGCTTATATTCATCTCAGTGTTGGCTGCTTGGTTCAGACTCAAATACCCACATGTAGCAATAGGTGCATTGGCATCTTCAGCACCAATATTGCAGTTTGATAACATCACTCCATGGTCAAGCTTCTATGATGCAGTTTCTCAGGACTTCAAGGTTTGCCTAGAAACATAACTTGATGATCATGAGTCATGACTCTATCCCCCACTTTTTTATAAATGAAAATATTTTGGGTAAAGGAGTAGTTCTACTAGGGCCTCATTTCTTTTAACCCAATCCACTCGAAAACAATTCAGAAAAATCTTTTCTTGAAAAAATATACTCCCTCAGTATCAAAGTAATAGTTACGTATATCCGTTTTGGGTTATCCCAAAATAAATGTCACGATTCCTACTAGTTACCTTTTCTCTTGCAATTTTCTTAATCTACGAGCCCAAACATAGTGTCACCATTAATTTTAGATAGAGGGAGTATTAAAACATACCTTACAAGTTTTATATAAAGATCTAAACCTAAAGATGTTTAACTACTCATATTCTTTAATGTTTTGAGATGGAAACCAAGTGCTTAAACTACACAACCCTTAATAAAACAGAGTAAAGTTCTCATATGGGAATATGTACTTATCTATCTGTGTTTATTTGGATGATTTAATTTTTGAATAGGACGCAAGCTTGAATTGTTATGAAGTGATAAAAGGAAGTTGGTCAGAGTTAGCTAGTCTTTCAGCATCTGAGGTCACAAAGATTTTCAAACCTTGCAAGTAAGTTTTATGAATGAGAAAAGATATATCATATGCTTTACTTAGTCAAAAGAGCTTTATAAATTCTGGTCTAATAAGTACCTCATACTTTTAAAATTCCATGAATAAATTAAAGAATTTGTTGAAAACCAGGAGCTTGAAACATTTGACTTCAGCTGGGGATTGGCTTTCAACAGCATTTGTGTATACAACTATGGTGAACTATCCAACTGAGGCCAATTTTATGAAGCCATTACCTGCATACCCAGTGGAAAAGGTTCATATATCCTTCTTAAATACATGCACATTTGAGTTGGCAAAACATACTTCATGAAAAGCATTTATTGACTACTTTTAAAATTTTATTTTTTAGATGTGCAGGATAATTGATAGCTTTTCAACCAAAGTTTCAAAGGTTGTTAAGGCATTTGCTGCTGCAAGTTTATACTACAATTACACTGGAACAGAAGAATGTTTCCACATAGAAGATGAATCTGATGATCATGGTCTCAGTGGTTGGGGCTGGCAGGTATTTATTTACACCAGTCAAAGCTTGTGACTACATGTAATGTGCCATGTACATTGATGTCTGTTATGGTTCAGGCATGTACAGAAATGGTTATGCCAATGATAACATCAAACGAGAGCATGTTCCCCCCATCCTCTTATAGCTATACGGACACCGAGCGCTACTGTGCGATGCAGTACGGTGTGAAGCCCCGACCGCATTGGGCCGTCACTGAATTCGGGGGCAATGTGAGCTCTCTTTTCATTGCCTATATATGTTTCTCCATTTTGAAATCTTGAAGTTTTGTGTTCTTCCGGAAACAGTCTTTCTGTGCTTTAGTACACGGGTAAGACTGCGTACATCCGACTCCCCCTTACCCCACCGTAGGTGGGAGCCTTTGCGGCACTGGGGTAAATGAAAATGAAATGAATGAAAATGAAGTTTTGTGTTCTTGTTCCCTTTTCAAGTCTTATTGGGGTCAAATTTGTTTTAGCTACTCTAATATTGTATTAAGACTACGAGTTTCATTTTAAAATGTCAATCCGATAAGAGAAGTTTGTCAAGCCTTGTATACCAGTTTGCATCTTTTCTATTTCATCAATGTGGGATAACATAATAATTTTGATTTTTTTCATGGCAGGGGATTGAGAATGTCTTAAAGAAATTTGGGAGCAATATCATTTTCTCTAATGGAATGCAGGATCCGTGGAGTAGAGGGAGGTCAGTCTAATTTCTAAGCATTACCATTCTCTAATATTCTCCATTAATGATCGATGTCATGTGAGAAGAATTCGAATCTTTTAAATTTGATTGAAATTTTTTAAAATCACCCGCTATTATATATAATACTATCACTGGTTCCATAAAAGTTGCAACCGTTTGATTTTCACGTTTGTCAACGCGCAACTTTGACTGTAATTATATTTATTTACGTATTAGTAAACATTAAAAAAAGTTAATATATTGGAAATTTACATTAATACAAATTTATTAATATTTTATACATAATATTTTTATTATATATATTATTAGAAAATCGTAGTGAAAGAAAGGTGTGAATAGTTCTGAAATTCCAATGTTGCAACTTTTATGAAACGGGGGAAGTATTTTCTAAATGCAACTAATGATACAGTTCAATAAAGTTATACATATTCTTTTTAAAATTATCATCTACCCATATTAAAGACTCCATTTAATTAATTTTTTGTTTATTGTTTATTACTTTGTAATAGAGTATCTTTCATTGTTCTTTTACTCTTGACTTGATAGAGAAGACATGAAGTTGTAGTACACAAAAGCATAAACATGTGAATTAGAGTATTAGGGAGTTTGGTATATTTGAACTTTTATTTTAATTTATGGCTTCGAGATGATTTAGTTCACGTTTAGTAATCACTATTTTCGGTTTATCAATAGACTTTTTTTACCACACATACAACTTTTGATTTCATACGTTGAATTTTGTTTAATAATAAAAATAAATAAGGTTAGCGTTATTTTTCCGACTAAATTATATGACATTGGTGAAGAAACTTTTGAGCTAGTTTTCATTTAATTCTTCTTTATTTTAGTAATAAAATCCATCACATTCAGCCGTTGTAGCCAACATTTCACAAATTTCGATGGATTTAATCGATTTAGTCAATTTGAGTATTCCTAAACCGGCTCTTAATATATTATTGTGGTGTTTGGCAAACATATTGATAAGATTTTTTCCCTAAAATATTACTCAAATTAATCGCATGGGCAAAAATATGAAGTTATTATTAGTGTAACATCATGCTCACTATAGTGTGAAATTTAATATGATTATGGTGACTAAAAGTTAATAAAGTAGTCATTACACAAGGAGGTCACATTATCCATCATTTTTATTTTACTACTACCTCCGTCCCGCTATGATTGTCTCATTTTACCTTATCGGTCCGTCCTACTAAGATTGTCACATATCAAATTTGGTAAAGTTTATGTGGCTCTAAATCATTCTTACTTTATTCTTACTTTATCAATTCAATATCAACCACATAAACCACTTTTTACACAAGGGAGTAATATTTATGTCATTATTTCATACTTCCTCCGTCCCGAAAAGGTTCGCCAACTTTGACTTTCACGTGGATTAATAAAGTAAAAACTGTGTGGTTAAAATTTGTGCAGAGGAGAGAGAATTAACTTTAAGGTTCGCCAACTTTGACTTTCACGTGGATTAAGAAAGTAAAAACTGTGTCCTTAGGGAGCGGATCAGCTGAGAAGTGCCCTTAGGCTGAGAAACTGCGAAGTCTAACTTATAAGCAAAAAACACGAACTTTTAACCAAAAAATCATAACTTATAGACCCCCTCAAAAACACGAACTTTCTGCAAAAAAAAATTCCAGGTTTCTGGAGTTATTTTGACGCGGTGGCATTTTCGTAATTTTTTTGGAGGGGGTCTATAAGTTATGATTTATTGGTTAAAAGTTCGTCTTTTGAGCTTATAAGTTAGACTTTGCAGCTTCTCAGCCTACGGGGGACTTCTCACATGATCTTTTCTCTCTCTCTCTCTCTCTCTCTCTCTATATATATATATATATATATATATATATATATATATATATAGGTTAGGAAATTCCTGACCGGAGCCCCGTCCGGCCACCTCGTTCTATGGTGTTTTCGAGTGGATTTTTTTTTCTCAAATATTTTGAACATGTTCCTCATAAAGTGTAGATGATCTTCACCAAATTTGAGCAAAAACTTCAATCGATAAGGCAATGAAATGATTTTTGGAAGATATCATTTCATTTTCATTTACCCCAGTGCCGCAAAGGCTCCCACCTACGGTGGAGTAAAGGGGGTCGGATGTACGCAGTCTTACCCCTGTACTAAAGCACAGAGAGACTATTTCCGGATGACCCATAATTTTTTGGAAGATAACTGCGCCAAAATATACATATAAAACACAATCATATTCCAAAATTCATTTAACTACCTTTCCGATTGCATTTGTTCTCAGTTTTTACAATAAGGGGTGTTCTTATTAAAACTCATGCCTATCTTATATTGAGATCGAGAAGAGATTGATTGTCTTTTTTAATTGATCGAATGGACTTTATGTCTATATATAGTGCAACATTTTTTTTGGGTTTTATGTGATAGTGTTCTGAAAAACATATCGGATAGCATTGTGGCTTTGGTGACTGAGAAAGGTATGCAACCAGTTTTATTTGATTAAATAAGTGATTACTAATGTTTTAATCATAAATGGTTTTTGTAAACTAATAATTTGTGATGGTATAGGAGCACATCATGCTGATTTTAGGCATGCTACTAAGGATGACCCGGACTGGCTCATCAACCAAAGAGAAAAAGAGATTGAAATTCTTCACAAATGGATTGGGGAGTATTACAATGGATATCTAGGCCAACATTAAGAGCAAAATACCATTTTCATAGCTCTTTTTAATAATTAAATTACATTATAAATTCGTTTGTGATCTCTCAGAAATGAACTGCTTAATTGTTTCAATTGCAGCAATACTGTCATCCTCATAATCTGGTCAATCCATAACCTGTAATGAGGAACCAAATCAGAGTAAAAAGAGATGAAATGTTTGGCAAATGTTGTATTTCTCTGAGAATAAGGCTTTGTTTGGTAGCCTTATCTTGCTATTTCTGCGTATGAATTTTTTCTAGTATAAAAAATATCAGCAAAAATGAAAAGCTTTGAAACGAGCAACTAAGATACTCTAATAGCGAGATGCACATTTCTTATAAACGCCCAAATCATATTAATTTAGTGACTATCAATATTTGGAATCATAGTTACTACCACACATAACCACTACAGTGACTACATTGTGTACACGTTCAAATTCACAAAGCTATATTCAAATGAAACTACTCACTAATTCACACTCCATCTCTTTCTCCTACGTACTACACAATTCATACTACAGTCACTACTCTCTTTACCGTCATAATCATGACCTTCCCTATACCCTAACATAATCTCAACATATATCACCTAGGGTTTCGAGTGTGATAAGTTACTATATCAAACATATACAACCGTATCGTTACTGTCAAAATCCATATATTTGCAGACGAATAAGTGACTATATCAAATTAATCGCACCTCATACCGTTATACTCTTCAAATTTCTCCACCTTCACATCATTCGGTCCACCGATACATACATATACATATATAAAACGAAAACATACCTCTGATCGCAAACAAAAGTGTGTCAGTCACTGTGTCCGTGTATGTCCGTTGAATTCGTGATCCACTTCAGCTTCTTCGCCGTGTATCTCCGTCAAATTCGAGATCCTTTTCAACGTCTTCAACGATGTATTCTTCCGGTCGTGGCCAATGAAGTTATGGATTTCCGGTCCATAACTGATTTTCCCTTATATCTCCGGTGTTTTACTGACGTGTCGAATTCGTTAAATAATCCAAAACGGATTTTATTTCCTTTATAAAAGTCAGACTACTGTACGTGAGCAGTGCTTATACTGTGGAACCGGTGCATGATGAGCACCATACACCCTTTGTTATTTTTTATTTCTCCTTTTCTTAAAATTGTTAATATTTTTTTTTATTTTTGATCCGATTTTTATAAAATTTATATCAAAATTTTATATTTTTCATGATCTTTCAAATGAGACCAATATTGCCTATGTAATTTTAATTTTTTACATTCATACATTTTTTGTAATATATTTTTATATGCATACACTTTTTCTATAATATTTTTTTTATCACTTTTATATGTTTTTAGAGGTTTTTAAGATATTGAGTTTGTTTATTTTACTTCTAGCTTGGAGTTACATTTGATAATTTACGAAGTTACATCATCTTATACCCCAGTTACAAGTTATTATGTGTGAGTTACATCTTGTTATGTGTGAATTACATCTTGTTATACACGAGTTACATACTTTTATGCGCGAGTTACATGTAATTATGTGTGAGTTATATCTAATTATTTGTGATTTTTTACTTATCTTTATCTTGAACTAATTCAATTATAACTGAATTAATTTTTTTCTTTGCCAATTTAATACAAAATTTTATTAATCCACATAAAATAAGTATATTGTATTTCATATTCATACACTATTTTTCAAATGATAAAAATGAAAGATGTAGCAGGGGTTTATTTCGTGGTGTAACTCACGTACATTAAGATGTAACTCGTGTATAATAAGATGTAACTCGCGTACAATAAGATGTAACTCGCGCAGAAGAAGATGTAACTTCATGATATATTATCAAATACAACAACAACATCCAAGCCTTAATCCCAAAAGAATTTGGGGTCGGCTAACATGAATCGATCTATGATATCGATGCCAAAAAGAGAAGGCGGACAAGAAAAGGAAAAAAAAGTAAGATAAAATGAATAAAATAAAGATACATAAATATAAGATAATAATAACACAAGAATATAACCAAGATAAAAGAAAAATGAATAAAAGAACATAAAAAAGCTAGAAGATAAAAATAACATAAGAATATAAAAAGATAAGGAAGATAAACGATAAAAGAAACAAGAGAGGAAATGTAAAAAAGACATCAATCGTCCACATGGATGTGCGCCCTTCACTTTGCTCTCTCCAAAGCCATACTCTCATCCAACCCAAGAAGACGCATATCAGTTCTGATTACTCTAATCCAAGTCTGTTTGGGTCTTCCCCTCCCTCTCTTCTCTGACTCTTCTCCCCACCCCTCAAGTCGTCTAACAGGTGCATCACTCGGTCTTCTATGCACATGCCCAAACCACCGCAAACGAGACTCCTGCATCTTATCTTCTATAGGTGTTACTCCCACATTTTGTCTGATTACCTCATTCCTCAGGCGGTCTTTTCTGGTATGTCCACAAAACCAACGCAACATACGCATCTCTGTCACACTCATCTTTTGAATGTGGCATTGCTTCACCGCCCAACACTCTACGTCATACATTAATGCCGACCTAATTGCTGTATGATAAAATTTACCTTTCAATTTAGTCGGCATACCTCGATCGCATAGAAATCCTGAAGCACTTTTCCATTTCATCCACCCAGCTCTGATTCTATGACATACATCTCCATCTAATTCACCATCCTTCTGAATTATGGATCCCAAGTAACGGAACATATCACACACCGGTATCTCCTTACTATCAAGAGTAATCCCACTATTGCTACCGCTTCTACCTCCACCGAACTTGCACTCCATATACTCAGTCTTGCTTTGGCTCAGTTTGAAACCCTTGCTCTCCAATGTTTGTCGCCATACTTCCAACTTTGCTTTAACACCGGATTTTGTCTCATCAATCAATACAATATCGTCGGCAAACATCATGCACCACGGTATATCTTCTTGAATTGACTTCGTAAGTTCATCCATGACTAAAGCAAATAAGAAAGGACTCAAAGCAGATCCTTGGTGCACTCCAATAGTAATAGGGAACTCTGCGGTCCTCCATACACTAGTGCGGACACTTGTAGTACAAGCATCATACATATCCATGATGATGCTGATATACTTACGTGATATGCCTTTTCTAGTTAAGGCCGACCAAAGAACTTCTCGAGGTACCCTATTGTAACACCCCGGCCCTGTAGGCCCCGAGGTAGTTACTCCAGACCTCTAGTACTGTCCTCACAAACCGCCACTAGCCTTTTCTGCGCACTTTGTCCTCACTCGTGCGCACCCCGAGAAACTTCCCAGGGGGTCACCCATCCCAAGACTACTCTTGTGCAAGCACGTTCAACTTTGAAGTTCTTGGGTGATGAGCTCCCTTAAAAGGAGATGCATCTTGTTGGTATAAGTAGTACTATTAATCCATTTAAATTAAATCTCAGGTGTTACAATCACCCCCACTTAGGATCGCAACGTCCTCGTTGCGCCCTTAACAATCTCAATCAAACCCCAGAATCTTGCCCCGCTAAGTGCCCGCCCGATATCCAATGGGTCAACACACTATCACAGGGTTGCTCTGATACCACCTGTAACACCCCGGCCATGTAGGCCCCGAGGTAGTTACTCCAGACCTCTAGTACTGTCCTCACAAACCGCCACTGGCCTTTTCTGCGCACTCTGTCCTCACTCGTGCGCACCCCGAGAAACTTCCCAGGAGGTCACCCATCCTAAGACTACTCCTTTGCAAGCACACTTAACTTTGAAGTTCTTGGGTGATGAGCTCCCTTAAAAGCAGATGCATCTTGTTGGTATGAGTAGTACTATTAATCCATTTAAATTAAATCTCAAGTGTTACACCTATCATATGCCTTTTCTAAGTCAATGAACACCAAATGCAGATCCTTTTTAGTGTCTCTATACTTCTCCACAACTTGTCTAAGAAGGTAAATGGCCTCAGTTGTTGAGCGTCCAGGCATAAAACCAAATTGATTCTCCGAAATTTTCACAGTTTTACGCAGTCTTTGCTCAACCACTCGCTCCCAAAGTTTCATGGTGTGACTCATAAGCTTAATCCCTCGATAGTTAGCACATTCTTGCACGTCACCCTTATTTTTAAATAAGGGAATGAGAGTACTCTTCCGCCAACTCACTGGCATTTTGTTGTTTCTCCAAATCATGTTGAAGAAACGTGTTAGCCACTCGATGCCTTTCTCTCCCAAACTTCTCCAAGCCTCGATCGGTATGCCATCTGGGCCCACTGCTTTCTTCCGGCCCATTTTTCTCATAGCCTCTTTAACTTCTGTCATTTGAATCCTTCTCACGAAGTCCCTATTTACCATACACTCTGGTATAGTAGGATCATCAATACCTTGGACTTTATTCCCGTTGAACAAGGTACCAAAGTATGACCTCCACCTCTCTTTTATTTCTTCATCGTCCATTAGTACCCTTTGATCGACATCCTTCACACACTTAACTTTTTCGATATCTTGAGTCCTACGATCACGAAGGCGAGCAAGTCTGTAGATATCTTTTTCTCCTTCCTTAGAATCCAACTTTACATACAATTCCTTATTCACTTTTCCTTTGGCTTCCTTCACAGCTTTTTTTGCTCTTCTTCTAGCCTCTTTGTACTCCTCTATGTTCTCGTCGCTCCAACTTTTGCCCAATTTCTTATAGCATTCTCTTTTGGCCCTTATTGCTTGTTTCACCTCATCATTCCACCAAGATGTGTCTTTTTTTGGTGGCAGACATCCTTTAGATTCTTCGAGTATCTCCTTCGCCACTTTGTTAATGGTGGACTCCATTGGTAACCACACATCATCCACGTGTGCGTCATTATCAATAGACCAAACATCTTCCTCCAACATTTTGTGTGCAAAACTTTGTTGGAGATTCCCCTCGAGCCTCCACCATTTATCTTTGGCTCCCCTTGTACCTTAACTCGTCCACTCTTTTTACCTCGAAAATCAAGCACAAGCATCCTATGCTGAGTGACAGCACTCTCACCTGGGATAACCTTACAATCAGTGTAGCTAGTTCTCCAAGTCGCCTGTACTAAAAAGTAGTCAATTTGGGTACTATTAGCTCCACTTCTATAGGTGACAAGGTGAGAGTCTTTTTTCTTGAACCAAGTGTTCATCACAGTCAACTCATATGTCGAGGCAAAATCCAGAATGTTCTTCCCCGCTTCATTTCTAGTGCCAAAACCATGTCCGCCATGGACACTCTCAAAACCATCACGACTTGGGCCCACATGCCCGTTGAGGTCGCCTCCTATGACCAATTTCTCTCCCCTTGGCACTCGTCGCACCACTTCCTCAAGATCCTCCCAAAAT